AAATATAAACCTTTGAAAATCTTGGTTGACAACTATTTACTTACTACTCTCGAAATACATTCATAAATTTATCTATTTATTTATTTAAAAACATAAGGATTGATACAAGGAGGCACCAAGTAGATATGCGACACATAAATCCTTCGATTTTTATGAGGGATGGGATACTTTCTGGGTGCCCGAACTCAAGCAGGTAGTTTTCTTAGGGGGTTACACCCGGAACCTTCGATCTAAATGTCTAATCCACAAGGGAGTGGAGCAACTTAAGGAAATGCAGTCACATGGTAGCCAGTGACCAACGGTTGCTTCATATCCCATTTATCCCTTCAGGATACTGGACACCATTGTTTTGCAGTCAGGGTTTTCCGACTCCTCTAGGTAGACTCACTGTGTCCACTAACCCGGTTAAACCGCCAGACATTCGCTTTTCATCCTCTCAGTTTCGTAAACAACATCCCTGGTGCGAGAAGGCAGTAAGTAGGACTTCCCTGTCAGTGGCTGTCTGCACGTGACAATTTGAGAACATATCAAGAAAGAGAGCTGACCCTCTCCGCTCTCGACTATACCATGGCCGATTAAACAGTACTTCATTTCTCTTGAGAAACATAGAAAAGGAGGTGTGAGTACAAAACATTTAATAAAAAAAGGGTGGACAAATATTTTAAAACTTACAGTTTTAAAGGTTTTGTTATAATGAAATGCGATTTGTTGGCGTTGAGCATTTGTTCGTGTTAATAAAATTTCTAAAACCATATCATATTTTTGTTCTATGAAGTATCAAAAAGGAAACGATTTGAAATGGATCTATTAGGTGAATAGAATCGTCATTAATTATGAGTTGATGAATTACATTAAAATCATATAAAGATAGTTAATTTATATCATCTTTAGTATAAAGTTATAGATCTATAAAATCTATGAAAATTATTATAGATATCTATGATCTATGTTGATCACGATCAACGATAACAAGTTAAGTAAGCGTTGCTCATAATCCCGTTTTAATAAACATGTATAATAGAGATGTGCTATATCCCGATATGAATAATGAATGACAACTGTTAGTATCCATTTATGGACTAATATATATTCTTATTGTATAATTATTAGGTAACTAAACTATGCATATTCATGTTCCTCTTATTATAAGCTTTATTTTGACCTATGAACTATTATTATATGATTTACCATTCTTGATGTATGTCCAGTCTATTAATTACAGTCTCCCACATTCACAGACACTTTTAGCTAGATCTTGTACAAATGTGTATTTTAAATTTTATAGTATGATACGAACTGTTTGGTTGGTATATAAACCCAGTTTGTTTAAAATACATGATTCATTTTGTGGTGTATGCTATTTATATTGTCATAAGTAGTCAGGAATAGAATGTCTGGCAACAGAAGGTCATGAAGATCAAGGAGGAAAGAACGGGAACAGAAAGCAATTGATATAAAAATGCAGTAACAATGAAGTTTGAGATGAGTGAATGACATTTGCAAAAAAATTTCAATTTTGAGAAGATTGATATTTTGCAAATGAAGTATTCACTGTATGATTCTCAGATTTTACGAGGATGTTCTGTAATTTGTGTTCATATACGTTCGATTATCACCACTTATGTTCTTGTTCTCGGCTAAGATTGGTGTTCTAGACTTAACAGGAAGGTCTAGGCAACACGTAGAACCGATAAAGTCTCTAGACTACGAGGTTTATGGGTCATTTTTTCGGTTGATAATTCACTGTTCTCTAATTGGTGGTATCAAAACGCTCTATATTGATAGGGATACAATGTCACAGATTATAACAAAATGAAACTAAAGTTTGAAATTATTTGATGAACATAATTGATTGTCAAATGGTTCTTAGATTAGTTACTCATGGTTGTCATTATTTACAGATTTATCGTCTGGATATGTAATCCTTTTGTTTTTGACTTAATCAAGTTTTATCTGAAATATTTATTTGGAAAATTGTAAAACAAGCAATAGTTTTTTTCAGATAGGGGTTTTGCGGAGACTAGTAATTTAATAGTTGAATTCATGAGTTAATTGAAACCAGACCACCATGGAAAATCTGGAGGCAAAATACGGCCGTTTCGTCCTACTGTGGAACTCCTCATCAGTGTGTATCCACGATTTAAAACCAGCACCTATCGGTTACGCGCGCGAACATTTAAACTCTAAACCACTGAGTAGGCATCCAAGGGCCATCTAGTGCTTCCAGGTTTTCCATAGTGATCTAGCTTAAATTGACTCATAAATCCAACCATTAAACAATTTTTTTAAAGACTTTTTTACAATCAATCTAATGGTGTATAAACATGGATAAAGACTGGTTTACTAATAATTTAGGTTATTTTATTAGAAGCATTGGAAAGAAAACTTACCTTTAGTTTTATTTTTTATGTTATGGACATCATTATCAACAGAAAAGTTGTTACTGGTGTCTATTTTTGGTTGAAAAACATATCCTTGTGAATCAATTTTATTTAATGGTGAACGAATAAATATTGGTCTGAAATCATGCAAAAATGGATTGTAGGTAAAGATAAATATTGACGTAGTTTTGTTCTCCGAATTGGATGGTTTGGTCGTGGAGCTTTTATCATTCTTCTGAACGATATCATCAGTTTACTTGAAGTTTGTGCAGATGATCTCGTTGAGAAGGACGATGAAAGCTCCACGATCAAACCATCCAGCTCAGAGAACAAAACTCCATCAAAATCAGCCACATGAGCAACAAGTTATCTCCACTATGAAGATAAATCGGTTAAAATTAACTGAAACAATGAATTCATTTGAATAAGCATCTTGATTAAACACCGTTGGACACCGTGTCAGCTGTCTAGAGGTTAAGCTTTCGCGCGCGATTCTGAAGGCTCTGGGTTTGGATCCCGCAAGCGGGATCACGGATGAGCGCTGCTGAGGAGTCCCGCAGTAGGACGAAACGACTGTCCAGTCCTTCCAGGTTTTCAATGGTGGTCTAAAATCATTAGGTTCATGATCACAACCAAAAACCTAATAATCTCCACATCCCTATACTGATAAGAAATATCTGTCAAAATTTATGAACATGTGATGAATGTAACCGAATGTTCAATAAGAAAGAAGTAAGATTATGAAAATTGAAAGTTTCAAGACTTATTATAACATACTGATTTGGCGCTAAGTTTGACTATTATTATAAATGTTGATGAAGAAACGTCCTATTATGCGTATCTTAAGTCTTCACACTATCTAACTACTGTACAGTATAAATTACAATTTGTAGTATTAACATAGATTCGCGCTTGTGTAATTTCTTGTAATCTTTGCTGGCTTCATTTAAGATCCCTTAATTATCTTATCAGACATGGTCGTCAATAAAAATCATAGTTTATAAGATTTTTGAAAAAATTTCCAGTTTGTAGGTAGTCGGCCAGTCAGCTACAACGTGGGACCAAGTACATATATGCATCTGTTCAAGTTACCTCACCACATTAACATAGCAAGATGAACATCAAATTCATAGATGTAGTTATTTCGATGGTAGTAGGTAATATCTATAAGAGACTGTGATGTTGATCTTGAGCCAAGTACTTGTATATCCAGTCTTTGTTTATTCGATATTTAAAAACGGCAAGGAATATCCATACGAACTGATTTTTAAAGTAGAAAGTAAACCACTGAGTAATATTTTCTTCAATTGTGTGACATATACATAAATCAAATAGTGATAATCAACAATTTTAAACAAGAATTTATTTCATGGATTAGTTGAAGTTAGATATTAACACCGTTGGATGCCGGCAAGTTCAGTGGTTTAGAGGTTAAGCGTTCGCGCGCGTGACCGACAGGCCCTGTGTTGAAATCTCGCGAGGCGGGATTGTGGGTGTGCACTGTTGAGAAGCCCCACAATAAGTCGGAATGGCCGTTCATTGCTTATGGGTTTTCCATGGTGGTCTAGCCTCAATTGACCCATGATCTCAACTATCAAAAATGTATTGTTTAATGATGACTATTCGGGAAACTAACGCACATATAAGATATCATAAAGAAAGTTTTACAAATATTTTTTTGGTCCATAACATTTCAAAACCTTCTAAGTTGAATCACAACCGTAGCATTTACGAACCAAACTCAGATGTATAGTGTCAATGTGTAAAAGTTCAGCAGACGTCTGTGAGTATTCTGATAGTAAACATTAATTAGCTAATGTATTTTGTTAACCATGTGGACGTATTTGTATTTGTAGTGGTGACTGGTGTTTTCTCAATTTTGATGGGTTATATAATCATTTATTCAGGTTTAAAGATTTTTATTCAAAGACAGTCTGACCGATTAGATTGTTAGGGATTTTGATAAGTTACATTTAAGTTGTGTATACATATTTTACATTACTGATCCAGTGACAAACGTACGTTACGTAATAACGACAATTGAACAATCTGAATATACATATACATAGCACGAGGGTTACCTGTAGACCTGAAACTGATGAGCCCGACGTGATATTGATAGAAGAAACCAGACAAGTAGTTAATAGGTCTTTATTTAGATCTTCGCACAGTCACAGTGGAGCGTGGGATTATTTTTTTCAGACAAACTGTTAGGTAGTCGGGAAAATAGACCAATAATTATGATGTTAAGTCCAATGGTGTCCTTGGACCTTAAATGTACATTTCCTATTGGTCGATATTTGTTCACTTGTTAAATATTGTACAATGTTATTTTCTACTTTGTGGTACGATGTGGTTTGTTTGCTTGGTATATAAATAGTGTATGTTTGAAATATAATGATTCATAACTCAGAGGCAGTGATTTGTGTTCTTGACTCAATTGGCTGGGACAGACAGCGAAGCAGGGCCAATCAGGGCACTAGGTCATCCTTACAAGTTTACATGTTTACGTATCACTGTCACAGATCGCGATCGATAATAACTCTGCGTATCCAAACCCTGCAGTCCTCACCCGTCACAACAATTGGCGACGGGGTAGAGAAAATTTTGAACCCCCTAATTGGACGAGATTCAGCATAATTATTTTGACCAATCAGTATCCAGGTTTGTCGGCGTCCTTGGGAATCATTGGTTTTTAATCTATTACAGTATTTCTCATTACCCTGCTGACTCAGAAAATGACTAGCCTTCCCGATCAATTGCAGCTACTACTAGATCGCCAGCAACAGCGTGTTTTGGACTATTTACGCTCGCTTCTGCTAGATCTCCCATGTTTCGGAGATGTGAAAGAAACTGATGAATTCATTTCTCACTTACAAACTGAACTCGAGAATGACTGCAGGACATATGAAGATAAAAACAAAAGCCTCTATGAATCCCTTATGATCAATAATGCAAATGAGGCAGTCGCTCATAATCCGTCCAGCGATCCAGAAGAGCCCAATTCAGAAGCATGCCCTGTTGTGGGTTCAAATCCCACTGTGCCTGAAACATGTGAGGTATCCAGCTTACAAGAAGAACCCCTCGTGCCAGAAAATGTTTCCCGTGCATCAAATCATGGTCAGAAATCCAATACGAATTTCAAAGATGCTGTTTATGTTAGTGACCTATTACCCACTGACGAAATTTTGAAGAGGTCTGAAGAATATGTTGCACAAGAATCAAACCTTAATGACCTCATGTCTGGTGTCGCTAATCCTCATCATCTAGTCAGTTTTAGTGAACCCTCTACTCAATGCGCGAAATATGCTTTAAATAGAGTCAGACTAACTGTTACTTGGGTATATGAGGACCCAACGTTATTTCGCGGGGGAGGACGGACGCAGAAAATTTTAAAGCGCAGATATGAACTCCGGATCTTTCGAAAAAGGGGAGGTGTTAGGTAGTCGGGAAAATAGACCAATAATTATGATGTTAAGTCCAATGGTGTCCTTGGACCTTAAATGTACATTTCCTATTGGTCGATATTTGTTCACTTGTTAAATATTGTACAATGTTATTTTCTACTTTGTGGTACGATGTGGTTTGTTTGCTTGGTATATAAATAGTGTATGTTTGAAATATAATGATTCATAACTCAGAGGCAGTGATTTGTGTTCTTGACTCAATTGGCTGGGACAGACAGCGAAGCAGGGCCAATCAGGGCACTAGGTCGTCCTTACATGTTTACGTGTCCACTGTCACAGGAGCGATCGATATAACGCTGCGTATCTAAACCTGCACACACACCCGTTACAACACAAACAAAACTTCTCAACATTTAATATAAGATAATAGGAAATATAACGACTTAGCAAAATAAGTAAGTGAATGAATACTTGAACTATACTGTTTTGGTATATGCTTGGTTGTTTGAGGTCAACTCTTAACCAACCAACCTAAGCTGTTACACATACACAGAAGGATTTCAATTTACGATTCTGCCAAAGAGAGTCGAAGTGAGTACCGTCGATCGGGAATGAGAATGCTCAGCCTCTAAACCATTAAGCTAACATCACATGAAACCAAAGTCTAACGGCAATCAATTCACGATACCGATATCGACGGATATTTATATCACACCTGGCACAGCTAGACTGTATAGCCACGGCTTCTCACCAGAATTAAAGAAGTTCACTTCTAAAGTTTGTCAAGAGCGAATAAATCAGGTGTATCATATACTAGTAACCATTTCATTTAATAAACATAGACATAATTCAAGAAATCTGTGTTTGATACAGTTATACTTACCGTTGTTTATCAGATGACTGTGAATCAAAATTATTGTAAAATATTTGGTTGTCAATGAATAAATATAAAAAAATGTTTGAATTCACTGCATAAATTATTCATTGATAATAGAATATTCACATAATTTGATGAAACACGTTATCCACGTTGAAACTGAACTAATCTCCTAATCGATAATCTTAACTACTGATTCTTCAACATTCTCTACCAATACGTATCCGCAAATGCCGTGTTGCGGCAGAGAGTTAGAAGATTCAACTCTCTCTCTCTCCCTCTCGAAATGCTCTCACATGGCCACTTACAAACAACCACTGACAGGGAAGTCCCACTGTTGAATACGTTCGATCCCCAGAACTCACTTGGGAAAGGACCTAATTTTGTAATTTTATTTAGAAAATTTGAATTTCTTTATTTTCGCGCCAACGGCGCTCTTGTCACCTTCATGTCGTGTTTCACACTGGGAAATATCTTAAATGCTATTGATCCATTGCGTCTTTTAGTATGCAATTTGGTAACGTTACCGATGGACTGTTTTGTACTGTATATACACGTTTTAAATTGTGTTTGTTGTTATCGATCGTTTCTGGCTATTTGCAGAACATACTTCCCCATTCCAAGCTTGGACATCTTACTCTAGTTAGCGGGGCTGGAAGGCATCAATAGCTAGCTTACTAGTCTATGGTCACCGAGTAATGATTCTCGTTCACAGATTAAGTGAACTCGTGATAGATTTAACCCTAGCACACACTAACTGACTGCTCGCGAGCAAAGTGGTGTTTACGAAATTGAGAGGACGAAAAGCGAGTGCACGGCACAATCAACAGGTTCATGCACACAAACGCAAAGCTAGAAGAATTGGACAGTCCATGATACGAACAAATAGTGCAAAAGCGCTTCAGGATAATATGGAAATAAAAGGATTATGGAAAAAAGGTTCGCCGGCCTCAACCATGGAAATGCATCTCATTCGGTTAATTTAATTCACATTGGTTTGGACATTTAGGTCAACGGCGACGAGTGTGCTCCACTAAGATATCCACCTAATTCGGCTTCCGCACTCAATCACTGACCGAGCCATCACATAAATCAGACGAATTATGTGTCGCATATCCATTCCGTGCTTCCTTCTACCAATGTACATGTGCTCAAATAAATAATAAATATGCATTATGAAACGATGAAATAAGGATTTGGATTTATTAAGACCAATTGTCAAACTTTGATCAGTTTACAACTACATCTCTTCATCACCAAGTGAAACTGAACACCGTTGTATTTTGTTTGCATCATTAAGCGCTTCTAAAGATAAGAGGAGAAATACTGTTGTTTAGTTCAGCATAGAAATTATCACCAAGGTATATTTGCTTATCAGTCAGTATCTATGTTTGTTTTCAGTGAAGGTCACATCTAACATTAATCTTGCAATAGCACATACCTAATTCAGATTATTGATTCGTCAATCAAAATCATAATATCATAGCATTAAATTCTGTCAACAAATATCTACAGACAACATACTATTAACTCTCACAGATAAGCTTTGTAAAGTGTACAATTGATTGATCACTGGTGGTTGGTGATCAATGTCATGCAAGTCAGGTCCGCCTTTGTGCCGATCGAAACCTATTGACCAAGTTGCAATTTGTCTACCAGTCTAGCTGACTCAACATTGCGTGCACCATGTTGAGATTGTTAGACAAACACACAGAATTGTTGATTATAGCTGACCTGCACGTTTGGCAGTCGAACTAGATTTCCGACTAAACTATGTTCACTTTTACAACAATCACACGTGTAACATATTAAAATTCGATAATAATAACGATTTAGATTACCTGAACTATCTTCAATGTGGTTTCTACAAGAATGAAAATAATCAGCATGTAAAATGTCGAAAGTATTATGAGTGAGAATATAATTTACAGACGACGTTTGAGCGACGCTAGAGGGACATTGAGAGTGCTCACCTCATAACCAGGAACAAATGAGGCTATGAACCAGTGTGAGGAATGAGAATTATGATTTACAGTTGATGATTAAGGTTAGGAATTAGATTTCGCGTTTTCATCACGAACTCACATGATCTATAATGCCAAAACTCTATTTAACCAAAAAATTGATGAGTGGATTTTGCGCCAAAATCCCTCATCTCTTATCTTTAACCTCATTGCTTCGTCCATGAATTATAGTCTCGCCCTATTATGCATTCATTTATTCATTTAGTAGTTTATCTAATAGCATCAGTTTGGCAAATGGATATTCATTCAGTTAACAAGCTCTACAAATACTCTCAACACGTCGGTATTCACAGAGGTTTATACATTTACTTATAAAGTTTCTATAGATAAAGAAAATCTTATTCTCATTCAGTAATACCAATAGATCAGCTTACTTCTTGTTTCATTTGCTATTCTGTGGACATCTTCTACAGTGAACATTGGGTGAGTGACATTCTCTGTCTTACTAACAATTCGTTCAGTACTGATGTGATCGGTTGGTGAATGAGTTGTCTGTGTTCTGAAACGAAGCAAAGTCAAACCATTTGTGTAATCAAACGAATTCAAAGCATCTTTTTATACTTGATAGTAAATAATACTACTGAAATGTGTCATATACCAACCAAAATAAATTAGTTGGCTAAAACCACACATAAATAATACACTATTTCATTTGGTTTGTGTATGAAACGGTCTTGGAAATCTTTGTTGTTTAGGGTTGTAAATGATAGATTCTGCTCATCGGTTGTATCTAAGTATTGTGATGAATTGTCCCGAACGTCGCTAGAGGTAAACGTTTGTGTTTGCAGACATTAACTTTGATGGTTTCACTCATTGAGCGAATACTGTAGATATGAATGTGATTTGTAATTCCGACCAGTATACTGATCATCTTTTGAATATATCAATCTATATAATTTGCTCACCTCACAGTCAAAGACAAATACAAACAGTTAGAATGCAATGAATAAAATGTAATTTGAAGATTTTTCCTCAATAACAAGGGAACTGGTAGGTTCCATTTTTCTCTTACAAAATGTTTGAGAAGTTATTCTTGTGATATATTGTGTTGTGTGCTACTGATGTCAACTAATATACATAGTATGTATCATGAATCGAAAGTGAAATGTTTGCCGGCAGATGATTGAGAAGATCGGAGAAGAAGAACGAGAACAGAGAATGATTACAGTAAAGCAAAGTAACACAGATGTTCGAGACCATTGATTAACATTTTGCAAATGAAGTATTTACTGTACGGTTTTCAGTTTTCACCAAGTCGTAATTTGTGTCTTCAAATACAATCGATTGTGCCCACTTGTGTTCTCGTTCACTACAATATAAGTGCATTTATTTGTAAGTTGAAATAATAACGATGATTTGACACTAAACCTTTAAGAAAATGTTGTTGAAAACTATTTACGCTGACCAGTTTGAGTGAACAGAATGTCAAATATCCACACATGTTGTTAAGCATATTTCTATTACCAGTCATCAACGTGTGCACATCCATTACACTTCTAAATCGGTCACAATGTCATAACTTCATTCAAATCCACAAAACCTCCTGTTGAAGTAATACTAAGATTAAACCTTCAATTTCAAGACTTCTTTCTAAACAACTTTCAACTGAATTGATAACGGAAAGTTAGGTAATAGGAAGTAATATCATTTGTGGAGAAGTTTCAGATTTGTAAGTAAAGAGACCCACTGTGTCATTGAAGCAGAATAGAGATAATTCAGCGAAAATGTTTTTGTCCGATGAAAGCAATATGACGGGGAACCTGTGAGAAATGCTTGGATCAACAGTATCTGTTATTTCACAATAGTATTACCACATGAAGTACGTAAGAAAGATATCTCCCTTCATCTTATGACAGATTAATCAGAGGCGTGCATTCACGACTCTGCCTAACAGAGTCGAAGTGATTACCTTCGATCTGGAATGTCAATGCTCAACATACAGACCATTGAGCCACAACTCGATGATGTCACAGTCTAACGGTAATTAATCCACGATACTCACTAATCATATCTCTTTATCTTCGACGAACATTTATCTCACACCTGGAATGACTAGACTCTATAAAAACGACTTCTCACCACAATTATAAAAGTTTGCTTCTACAGTTTGTCACTAGCGAATAAATCGTGTGTATCGATATCTTAGTGTGGAGAATTTCGGATTGTGATAAGACCACGAGTTTGTTGGCAAGAGAAATCCACACACAAAATACAATAATAGAAGATAATCACACAATATTGTGGATTGGTGATATTAAGAATTGTATATCATCTAATAGTGATCAGGTGGT